TAGTAATTAGGGAAATGCAAATTAAAACCACTTTAAGATTTCATCTTACCCCAGTCAGACTGGCTAAGATCAAGAGAATAAATGATACCAAATGTTGGAGAGGATGTGGGGAAAGGGGAACACTCATCTACTGCTGGTAGGACTGCAAACTTGTTCAACCCCTATGGGAAGATTTTTTCCCATTTTGTGGGTTTTCTCTTCACTTCCTTGGTTGCTTCTTTTGATGTACAGAAGCTTTTTAGTTTAATGAGGTCCCATGTGTTGATTCTTGACCTTGTTTCCTGAGCAATTGATGTCTGGTTTAGAAAATCCTTTCCTACACCTTTATCTTGTGGGTTATTGCCAATGTTTTCTTCTAACAGTTTCAGGGTTTCAGGCTTCACCCTGAAGTCTGATCCATTTGGAGTTGACTTTCATACAAGATGAAAGATAGGGGTTTAGTTTCATTCTTTTACAGGTGGAGATCCAGTTTGCTGAACATGCTATCTTTCCTCCAGTGAATGTTCTTGGCCCCTTTGTCAAACATCAAGTAGCTGAAATAGCATGTACTCATATTTTGGTCTTCAATTTTTGATGTATGTGTCTATTTTTGTGCCAGTACCATGTTGTTTTTATGACTATAGCTCTGTAATAGTTTAAAATCTGGTATAGTAATGCCCCCAGCTTTGTTCTTAGTGCTCAGGGTTACTTTGGCTATCCGAGGTCTTTTGTGCTTCCATGTGAGTCTTAGGATTTTTTTTCCCAATTCTGTGAAAAATGTCATGGGGATTTTGATTGGCATTGCATTGAATCTATAAATGGCTTTTGTAGGATGGTCATTTTCACAATATTGATTCTTATAATCCATGAGCATGGGAAGTCCTTCCATCTTCTAATGTCTTCCTCAATCTCTTTCTTTAAAGATTTAAATTTTTCATTGTAGAGATCTTTAATGTCTTTGGTCAGGTTATTCTGAGATTGTTTTTTTTTTTTTCAGCTATTGTGATGTTAAAGTTTTAAAAAAGTAATCATGCTCCCATAGAATTTGACAATGACCTGTTTTTAGCTTAATTTTATAAAACCTTTCTTTTTAATTTTCTTATATTTTTAAGATTTATTTTTAAATTATTGAATATGTGTATGTCTGAGTATGTGTATATGAGAACAGGTACCCAAGGAAGCCAGAGGTATCACCTATCCCAGGAACTGGAGTCACTGGCAGTTATGAGCTGACTGATGTGGATGCTAGGAATTGAACTTGGGTCCTCTGGAAGAGAAGTGCCTACTCTTAACTGCTGTGCCATCTCTCCAGCCCCATGGAAGTTTTCTTATTCAATATAATTTATATAGGAA